TGGGAGAACAGCCAAGCTTTCAAGACCTTCTGAAACACCATCAGGGTGGGAGCCTCACAAATCTTTGGCAGATCTCATTTCAGAGGCCAGGTGCTGCAAGAGAGAAGGCATGTTTCCTGGGTCTTGATAGACAGCATTGTTTAATCAAGGGGCTAGGAGCACGTCAATTCTGCCAGCTCTCACCAGACAGGCAGAAATCATGGGTTTAAAGCATCTCTTCCAAGTTAACTTGATGAAAACCTTTCACCACACTGCTTTCTCAGCAGAGAACAGTTGAATAGCATGGATAAGAGGATGGGACTTCTGCTCAGCCTGCTCCCTATTTTCCTTCTGTTTCCTCTACTAATTAACTGATTGATAAGACTGAAAGGCATTGACAATTGCAAAAACTAAATCTTGCTCTGTGTTTACTGCCACAGAACTACAATGCAGCTTCAGGCAGTAGTGTTAGGAAGGTTTAGATAAAGGAATTTGTGTCCTGAAGATGCAGCAAAACTTTTCAAATGTTGGCTTCAGTGGAGTAGGTAGCAAGTGCCCCTGTTTACACATATTGAGTTTTAAATCTCCTCCTGCACTTAGAGGTGGGGAATGCAGGTAACCATTGCCTCAATGTTTTGCTTCACTTGTTGGTGCTGATGCAGTCTACCACCCAGAGCCTTGAGGTGGGACTATTTTACCTTGACCCGTGGAAAATCCACTTTTCTTGAGCCAAGTGGAAATTTCCCACTGTTTAGAAATGGGGCGGGGAGGCTGCTTTGCTTGCAGTTTTGCTTTATGGACTGCTTCACTTGAAATTTCATTGAGGCAAAGCAGGAATTCAGTGTTGCCTGCATATGGTCACCTAAAATCAGAAGGACTCTGGTAGCACTATTTGTTTACGACTAACAAATTCTATTAAAAGGCATAAATTTTCATGAGCTGCACTTCACTTCACCATATGCTTCTGATACAAGTCTCCTGTGTCTGATGATTCCAGGGAAACCTATAGTTTATGACCATATATTCAAAGCACTTATACTTCATACTTTATCCAGAAAGATTCATATGAAGGTAAAGAGGTCCCTGTGTTGATCTCAACTCCTGGAGACACATCTATGTTGTTTTCTTGACAACAATATGGGAAAAGTTACCTTCTTCCAGGATTTTTCAACTTCCCAGCTCTGGGATGTTATGCTATAAAATTAAATGTCAGCATATCCACCTATCACTACACCCTGTATTTCACAAAATGATGCAGTTAATATTTCCAGGTTAATTTGTGCTTAAATATTTACTTTATATTTTGTACGCTAAAGTGATGAAGGGTGTCATTCACATGGGTGGTTTTTCCTCTCCATTCTGTAGGTCACTTTCAATGTGACTTTAACTTTAAGCACTTCAGCTTGTGGTGAAGGAAGAAGGAAAGTCCTAATCAGGCCCACTGGACTAAATGAAGTGTTGGAAATCGAAATCCAGCCCGAGTGCAGCTGTCATTGTCAGAAGGAAGCAGAGGTGAACAGCTCCAAGTGCAACTACGGGAATGGTTCTTTTGAGTGTGGGGTATGTGTCTGTAACCCCAGCTACATGGGTCCTGACTGTAAATGTAGCGAGAAAGATGCACTGAGTACGGAGTCCTGTAAAAGTTTTCCAGAACAAACCTTGTGCAGCGGAAGAGGTGACTGCTATTGTGGACAATGTATTTGCCACCTTTCAGCATATGGAAATATTTATGGGCCATACTGTGAATGTGATGATTTCTCTTGTGGAAGATCTAAAGGGCTGGTCTGTGGAGGTAAGTCTACCCTAAAATGTATTTTCTTTCTAAACATATAATAAAGATACAGTAAGGTATTGAAAAGAGTGAGGGTGTGCATATATTATGCAATTGTGTGTATAGTACATAAATGCACATGGACATACAGAGGACAGCCTTGATTTAATGGATTCTTTCAGGGGACAGTTGTTCATGATTCTGAAATGTCTGTTAAATCAGAAAGTATATCATTCACACCAATTTACATAATTTGTGTAATAATGTCATTATGCAAAGGAGTTGTATGGTGACATTATTAGACAAATGACCTAATTTGATGTAAGTGTAATCCTATTTAACATAAATCTAAGTACCTCATCTGGACTGCTCCATATACAACAGACTTTTTTGTCATTTGGGGATGATGTACAGATGGAAACTTGGACTCTTATATCTAAAGTCCACTAAATAGGGACTTTAAATCATGGTGATAATGTATGTATGTGTTTGTGGAAGGGCCACTATGAAATTCCTCAGTGGATTAATATAGAATTATAATACAATTTTAAAACCCCCAAGAAATACATTTCTTCATCTTGCTTTTAAACATTTCCAATTGGATCAGCATTTCTTGTTTTATTGTATATAAGGGATAACATTCAAAGCTCTAAACCTTCTAATACATAATATGTTAATTTTTTTTCTATTGGAAATCATGAAGCATGGATTCAGTATTGTTCCATTTATGTTTCTAAAGAAGATTTTCTAAATTTAGGCTCCCTTCACCTACCTGCAAATAAACTGTATAGAATCTAGTGGGACTTCTTTCTGAGTAAACAGATATAGGATCTCACATTATAACATAATAAAACAATCATGTTTCTGTGGAATTGATGAGAATATGCCATTGTTATAGTGATAAAACATCCATCGTATTCCAATCTTTTCCATGGGAAAGGATGGAAATGTAGGAGTGGTACAAAAGTCACTGGGAAGAGAATATTAAATGAATTTGTGTACTGCTGAAGAATTTGCTATATATCTTTGGATATGTTGGCTGAATGGGGGATTGAGGATTGAATCTTAATGTCTTCTTTTCTCGCATCAGCCATGTTGCACACACTACTCTACTGCGTTTTGGGGATCAGCAAATGGCACTTTGCTGGTAGAGCAAAGTGGTAGAGCACTTAACTAGTGGAGCTGTTCCACAAGAAGCAGAAGCATTTCTGCAGATTTCTTTTGGAAGATCTGAAGTTCTCTGAAGGTTGCAGTGCTGAACTTCATTATTTTGAATAAGCAGTCATAGGGGTTATTCTGTGAGCAAAAAGATTTAGCTAGCACACAAGACAGGTGTACCTGATGTTTGTAGATGGGTTGAAATATAATTCCCTCCATCCTGTTAGTACTGCTAAAATAGCCAAACTTGTTTGGAAGGCAAAAGTTTGTGAAAGGCTATTTTAGCAAGGCAATGAAACATGGTGAGTTCTCTCTTTGGAATAAACAGTTCCTTTTTATTTTTATTCTGTGACTCACCGTCTAAGGAGTGATATATATCTCAGATGAAGTGTCTGTCATGCTTTCTGCCAACAGAGTAGGGTTTGAAACTCAAGAGCTGGCTCCCTACTTTGTAATTTTACTTGGTCCTAATAAAAGAACTTTAATGTGGTAACTAGTTGGAAGGTTTCTTTCCCAATAATATACAGTAATGTCTTGAATAAATCATTTAAAAACCCTCTACAGATGATTGCTGGCAACTTGCAAGAATTAGGAAGAAAAGGCAATGATGGAAGCATTTGAAATAGGGTTGGTTGAGTTATTCTCAACATTGGAAACCTGGAATGGAATAGGATTGAAATCATCATCATCATCAATCACCACCACCACTAACTTCCATGGTTTTTCTTAGGCAATGGGGACTGTGACTGCAGTCAGTGCATTTGCCACAGTGGCTGGACAGGTGAATACTGCAACTGCACTACAGACACTGAGAGTTGTATTTCTAACAATGGCATCATCTGCAGTGGGAGAGGCAAATGCATGTGTGGAAAATGCGTGTGCGCAAATCCTGGGGTTTCAGGCAACTTCTGTGAAAAATACCCTACCTATGATGATCCTTGCAGCTCTAAATGGTAAGCCGTGTCTTTGAGTATCATTAGAAAAGTATATTTCTGTCACATGTCTGAATGTACAATCATTTTCAGAGGAACTGAATTTTCTTCACTGTTTCTGTTGGCAGTTGTGTATTTCCTATTCCATTAAATCCTAATCCATTTTGTATTCCTCTCAGTATGTTACATGCTCTCTGTATTATTTGTATATTTAGTATATTTTTATTAATTTGCAATTGTTTCATGCTGAGGTTCATGTTAAAGATTACCATTTCATTCCTCAGTTAGGGTGATTTGATCCTGGGAGGCTACTGAAATCTGAGGAATTCCAATAAGATTGGTTGTCAGTACTGTATATGTCCAATAATGTATAAAGTACTGTGTCAGAGAATGAGAAGTGGCCTAAAGCAGGGTATTCAACCTACCTCCCTAGGCCCTCATATACCCATCAAAGCCTTGGTTGTAACTACCAGAGGCCTTCCAAATGTTACTGCCAAACTGTAATTTTTAACATGACAAGAAGGGAAAACTTAGATACATTAAGAGAAACCAAATCACATTGATTAAATTGTAGCAACTGTAAATAAAATGGACCCAGGTGGCCTGGAAATCTGATTAGATGGGAAGTTATTAACTGCAACCAGGCATCTTTGTAATGGGAGAAATATCAGAGAATGTGGATTAGTGTTTCAGGAACTCCTTCATTACAGGGACAAAGTCCTTGTTCAAATGGAATGCCCTGTAACTTCCCCTTGAGGATAGATGTTGGAAGGGCATGAAATCTTGCCAGAGTTAGGGCTTTTCTGAATTTGGGAACTGTTATTTGGCTTATATATCTAGCTGGCTTGAAAAAAGGTGAATGACTGCCCAAGAACATGACTCTGGGTATGACAAACAGACAAAAGGAAACTGGGTATCAAAACAAATAGTGAAAATTGCCAAGAAGAGAAGACCACCCAAGCCAAAAAGAATCTCAGGAAGGAACTTAAAGAATTTCAGGGAGCCGTCAGTAGAGAGGAAGCAGTATCATGATATCTGTAAAGACACTGCAGATGGAAAGAGACATGGAAAAACAAAGAAAGTCTTCCAAAAGATTTTCAAACTCAGAAGGAGATTCCATGTCCAACTGGTAAGCTAAAGGATTCCAATAGATAGATAGTAATTGATTCAAATAAAATCTAATAAAGATGGAAGAAAAATAGTGAAATTCTATACAGTAGAGTAGTCATAATTCCTGAGAAGATATTCCCCACTTAAAAGAATCTCTAGTACTAGAAGTTAGATCTATAGTTAGATCAGCACTCTGGTCTTTACCAAGTCAGAAGGCTACAGGAATTGATATCTACAGAAATATAGCACACAAAGAAGAAGAATCTGTAAAGGTTCCAACCAAACGATGTCAGCAAATCTGGAGAATGACACAATGGATAACAGATTAGAAGAGATTAGTCTAAATGTCAATACCAAAGAAAGGATACATAACAGAATGTGCAAATTATTGTATAGTATCCTTAATTTTACATGCTAGCAAAATAATGGTTAGGAAATAGAAAGGGAGATACCAGATATTCAAGCTGGTTTTAGAAAAGCCCAAGGAACAAGAGACATTGCTGAATAATTGAGAAAGCAAAAGAATCCCAAAAAGAAGACAATATGTACTTCATATTATACAGGTTATACAAAGGCCTTTGATTGTATCAACTATGTTAAGCTATGGAACGCGCTTAGGAAAATGGGAATCCCAGAACATCTCATTGTCCTCATGCAAAATTTATATACAGGCCAGAAAACCACAGTGCGGATGGAACATGGTGAAACGGATCAGCAAAGGAGTGAGACAAGGATGTATGCTCTCTCATTTATTCAACCTATATGCTGAATATATATTGAGAGAGGCTGAATTGGAAGAAAATGAACATGTTTTTAAAACTGAAGAAACAGCAATAAACTCCACTATACTGACTATAGTACTCTGATAGCTGAAAATGCAAATGAACTGCAAGCTCTAATAATGAAGGAGCACAGTGAAAAAAGAAAGCGGGGGGGGGGAGACTAAAGTTAAATATAAAGACCAAACTGATGACAACAGGTACAACAACCAGCCTTAGAATTAAGAATGAAGTTACTGAAGT